ATCATATTTTCTCACGAAGCGTACTTTAACGTAAAGATTGACAACATATGAAATGGATTAAATCCGACAATTAAGATCTATATTTTCTGTTTATACGTTATGTTTAACAGATACAATTTCTTTTTCGTTTTTTTTTTAAATAAACAGTATTAATTACATTTATTGGTCTGAATGTTCGTGAAATTTCGTAGAAAATATGCGTTCTCCGACAGCTATTGGACATTTTTCCTATACGGAACAGCCAAATTACTGTTTATAAACACCAAATCTTCAACGATCTTTTCCGAACGACCAATATCTGTTCACGAAACGAAAATTTGTTGTTTATAAACAGCAATTAAATAAGTATTAAATAAATGTCGGACTTAATCAATTTCCTTATATACATATATATGTATATGAACAATATTTGATCAAACGTTGATGAAAATTTCTCAGTACGACGAAGATGGGATTTTAAAAAATAATTTGATATTTCGTTAGATGCTGTGAAGTGGGTTACTTTCAGAAAAGTCAAGTATTCAAAAATCTGCCTTATTAAAAAAAATGTCTATGAATTCTCATCTTTAGTAGATTTCAAATCCAATTTTACCAACAAAATACAAAAAAATACATTAGCTATACATACATGACACACTCCTGAAGAGGAACTTGTGACTTGTCGAAGCTTTGCATACTTGGGACACATATCTGTCACTAACAGCATGGACCGGCGTTGCCCGTGCTTAATTCAAAAATCGTACGACTTGACTTAAAATATTTTTGCCCTTACTTGCCATTAAAGGAGTGCCCTTTTCCGTGCTGATGTTGCTACATGCCTTACTTCTTGCCTATCTCACTCTGCGAATTTTTTCTAAGTTCTATACTAAACATTAAATCTGTTACGAAAAAAGAACTAAAAAAAATGAACACAAAACGATCAAAAGGACTCGTAACTGGAAAAACCGAATGAAAAAAGAATGTTAACAACAAATACTTTTTCACACCCAACTCAGTTCTGCGGAATCAGAATCAACGTTGAGTTTAAGCAAGCGAATGAGCCAATTGGAGTAAAGTGCCATGCAGATTTAAATTTTTCCCACTTGTGACGAATGCAGGTATCGATTTTTTTTGCATGCTAGTTAACATTCGTGTCAGTCAGCTGTTGGCTCTCACGCTGGCGAATACAAGTTTCCTGCCTATTCGTAGCAGCCAGCTATTGGCTCTCTCTCTCTGGCCAGTACAAAATGGCCGCAAACTACATGAAAACTGCCGTAGAAGCATGAAAATATCGATTATTTCCACTATCGATGATAGTTGGGAAATACAACGTTTACTTGGAGCATGTGCATGTAAATCTTGGTACTAATCCGTCGAAAATTGCGGCCGTGCATTCGTTACAGACACACACACACACACACACACACACACACACACACACACACACACACACACACACACACACACACAAACACAAACACACACAAACACATACACACACACATCCTCACACATCCTGCCTTTTATAGATAAAGATTATATCACAATCACTCAAATTACATGAACATCGGATAAATATTAGAATACCAAAATATTACAGAATCGCTCCAAAGAAAGACACATGATTCTAAGAAACACGATAAGACAACAGATACAACCATTTAAAAAAAAAATAACTTTCTTCACAGGATACAGTACATAACTCCCACATTATAAAGATGTGCATAAAATATATAATATGCGTATACAAATATAATTAACATTATTTACATTATTCCGACTACTGTCCTCATCTTTGTCGACATATTTATTAAAATGTTCGGCCATTGTACTCTCCGGCCTTCTTCTGGTGGTTGGAATGTCCTCAAAGACACATGGCACAGTGGATAAAGGCGTTAGTTGATCGAGTGACAGAACCCAAAGTGTGTGAGTTCAATACCCGGTTAAAGCAGTGGAGAGCTTTCAGAGGGGAATTAACAGGAGATAACTGATAACTGACATCCATCAAACATGGCACGTGGAACTAGAACAGTCTAACGCAGTGAGCGAAATAAAGGATTCAGTTCGACATTCTAACCACCTGAAGAAGACCGGAGCGTACAACGGCCGAAATGTTGTAATAAATATGGCGACATAGTTGAGGACAACAGTCCGAATAATGTAATTAATGTACATAATACTCATCTCAGAAATCTAGACAGATACTGAACGGCCGAAACGTTGTAATAAATATGGTGACAAAGATGAGGACAATAGTCCGAATAATTTAAATAGTGTACATAATACCTCATCTCAGAAATATAGACAGATAAATAGAATTAAAGCAAGTATGAATTTACGAACCGTGGATTTTAGGTTAACCCTTACAGATGCCACCACTTTTAACAGATTCCAATATAACAACGATATATTATAATTCTAATGATATTTTAATAAATAAAGAATTTAAAAATTACCCTGAGTTTGGAACGCTTCTAGGCCTTCCAGGCGTCTATCTTTTAAGCGCTTAACCTAGGGGCCT